ATCATATTAAAGACCTAGAAAAACATGTAGATGAGCAGTTAGAGCAATTTACAGATCCACTAACATGCTCGGAATCTTTTATGATGCAGGAAATTGAAACTTTTCATGGGGATATCATTACTAGGCTTAAAGATGATTGGGATGCCTCGGAGGCAGAATCACTCCAATCCAAGGCACCTACTCCACCCAGGTATCATAACTATTCTTCTAAGGTTGTTACTCATACACCATTAGTCTACCCAGCTACCATGGTAGGAAAGCCAGCTTCTAGGAAACACCCTCAGGGACAGATGGCTTATGTAAGGCAACCTATACAGCTGAAGGATCTGAAGAATATTAAAGAATCAGTTGTCTCATATGGTCTCCATAGCCCATACATAAAACAGCTATTACATTCATGGGCAACCTTTAACAGGCTGACGCCCACAGACTGAGAAAGACTGGTAGCAGCTGTACTTGAGAATTCATGCCAAATCTAGTGGAAGGCATTGGTCAGGGAAGAAGATAAGCTCCTTGAGTGTCAAGGCATAAATGTTTTGAAGCCCCCCTAGATAAGATTCTTGGTCAGGGTATTTATGCTGACCCACAGGCTTAGGCTGAATATGATGACCGTATACTGTCTCTATGCAGGAAAGCAGCACCAAATGCCTGGGATAAGGTTTGTGAGCCAGGAGAATGCCTAGAAGCTTACGCCAGAATAGAACAGGGACCAACAGAACAATTCCAAGACTTCTTACAAAGGTTAACCAGGGCAGCAGAATTACAAGTAACAGATCCGGCAGTAAGACATTTGATTGTATATACAATAGCTTATGAAAATGCAAACCTAATATGCAAAAGAATACTTTTGCCTTTAAAGATCAGATCAGCTCTGCTAGAAGAAAGGGTTGAACATGAAGCCAACATTGACTATAATGTGCAAGATACTGGAGCTTGGGTGGGAGAAGCCATCTCCAAAGGTTTAAAAAGGCAGCAGGAGATTAAAAGTTCTAGAGGTGAGGATGCAAGGGCTTGGGAAGAAGAAGCACCTTACAGAAGTCAGCATACATACCAAGAGGCCAGATGTTATTACTACTATGAACCAGAACCTTGGGTAGGTGTGGGGGACCAAAATATTTCCGCTATGGAATATTTTGAGATCCAGCCTTGGGTCTCACTAAACATGGAGCACCAGAAAGCTCCAACCCACTATTGTATTATTAATGCCAGTAAGGCTACTATTGTTTACCATGGCCTCAGGGTAATATGCCTCTTATTTGCATCTCTGTGCATCACAATCCTACAGGACAAGTAGTGGTTGAGAGATCTAATAGGACACTAAAGGAGATGATCCATAAACAGGCTTGGAAGACTAAACCCCCCAAACATAGGTTGCATAATGCTTTATTAACACTAAAGTTTCTTAATGCCAACGAGACAAACAGCTGCAGAAAGACACCAAACTACAGAAAAAACTGCTGAACTGAATCAGCCGGTATACTTCAAAGATGTACAAACCTCTGTATGGAAACCAGGACAAGTGTTACGATGGGGTAGGGGTTTTGCATTGGTTTCAACAGGAGAAGAAAAACTTTGGATACCATCAAAGTTGATCAAGATATGAGTTGAAAAGGAAAAACCTCTCAACAAGGAGAAATGACAGGTATTCTACTAAGGTATATCTTATAAACTAAATAGAAACCTCCCAAAGGAAAGGGAAGTGTTTTGCTTTTATCTTCACAGGAAAACTCATCTTCAGAAGGCAAAGGACACTGCATGGGTAGATACTTAAGAAGAG